CCCATCCATGATGGAAGGATGGGAAGAGAGGGAGAGAATCCTTCTGTTAGGGACCACAAGCTGTGGTGGGGAGGCAGCGGTAGCACTGAAGGATGAGCTAGAGCTCATGGGTAGTTCCTAGTAGAAGGAGAGGAGATTGCTAGTACTAGAAGGAGACAAGGGACCGTACAGGTTTACTCCCTGAGCAGAATCCAGTCAGGTGGGTAACGAAAAAAGTCAAGTAATGGAGTTGACCCAAGAAACTCACCTTGAAGTACTACAGAGCGAACTCTAGATGTCACTAAGACTGAGATGTCACTGGCCTTTCGAAGACAAGACCTGAAGGGGCAAGTAAGGAAGAGAAGGGAAGAATGATAAGCCTGGAAGAGGGGAGTGATGGGTCATGTGATGTAATAGAAGCAGACTCCAAAATCCTGCCCCTTTCTCCTTTTAGGGAGCAGCAAACAACAATCTTCTTGGGAAACCAAGGAGAAAAGTTAATGGAAAGCCACTTAGGAGTCCAAGTTAACAGAAGTTTGGGGAGGGTTGAATTATATGTCATGGCTAGAAAAAGAGGGAGTACCTGACGTAGTCCAACCATCGTGTTCCTTCCAGGGCTGAGAGCCATTTATCCTCAGCTACAGGTGAATCTGATAGATAGTAGAGGGGTCAGAAGGGCAAAGAGATCAGGAGAACTCGGGATTCAGGATTCGGGGTCTATAGCCTGAAGGGTAAAGAATAAGTTAAGTAGTGGTTGCCTTGGGCTGGGGATAGGAATGAAAAGTAACTATAAATGGCCATGAGGTTTCAAAAGTTATATTGTGGTAATGTCTGTACAAAACTGTAAATTCACTGAATTGTACACTTAAGATGGGTGAAAGATGATTTTTATGGCACGTAAATTATATCTCAATAAAGCTATTTTTTAAAAAAATACGTTGGGGTCTGGAAGACAGGAAATCAGTATGTGGGAGATGGGAGAGTTGAGTAGAAAACTAAGGATCATTGGGCTAAAGGGTTACTCATCTATAGCAGGCAAATGGTAAACCAAGTGGGGGTGAGGGATCAAAGGTTATTCTCACCAGGCAGGCAGAGGGCCCTCAGCCTCAGGTGGGCAAGTTGTAGATCCGCAAGACTAGGCAGCTCATCCGTAGTGTCTACCAGGACAACGTCAGAGTGCCCAGCCTGGAGCATAGACTCCACTGCTCTGGAGGAGAGGGAGTCGGAAAGTAAGGGAAGGGGTCTGCCCTGAACATCTAATCTTTAATTCTTCCCATCCAACTTCCCTCACCTGATATCCTCCTTGTTAGGGTCACTGGCTGTGTAGAAACCTCCACAACGGAGAAGATCACTACCCCCAGGGTGATGCCAGGACAGGCGCTTCAAATGGGTGAGAGGAGGATCACTGTGGGAGAAACTCTTAGCCCCACCCTACCCTTGCCCCCACACTGACCTCACAGGGATCCCCTCCCTCCACAATGACCCCTGACCTCCCATAACCCTCTAATCCCCACCCTCACACTGACCGGTCCACGGCCCTGATGAAAGTGGCCAAATGCTCTCCTGACCTCACTGTCCAGAATTCGGTTAGGAACCCAGAAGTAACGGGGAAGGCTGTGAAATTAAGAGTTATGTCACATCTTGGCTCAGTGACCTCATAGTGCAAAGCTGTGATTATAAGGAAGCTGCTTAGGAGGGGATCATTCCAAGTGATCTCAGGTTTAGAGATCTAGAGGTAAGGGGGATAGCTTTGTGGATGTCCTAGGAGGCTTGAGTGTGTGGGAAGCAGAGCTTTAGATTTCAGAGAACTGTGGGAAGATTGGGAGGGCTACAGGGGTCAGGGTGGACTGGGGGATCACCTGGTGGCTACGTCGAATCTCTCATTGACAAGACTGACCCGCCAGCCACTGGCCCCCTGCTTTTTCCTCTCAGTCTCCCAGTCTTCTGATGTCTCCAAGAGGGGAATAGGTGGTTTTCTGGAGCCAGAACTCTGGCCTAGGGAAGGAGTGAGGCACAGAGGAGAAGAAAGAGAATAGCTCTTTTGTTTTCAGCCAGCCCTGATTTTTCACACTCTACCCTTTCCTTACCCCAAAGCACCCTCACTCACCAGCCTTGCTCAGAGTTATCCCTGCATACTGCTGGGCTTGACTGCTCTGAGCTCTGGCTTGGACAATGGCCATGGTCACCTGTGGAGGAAAGGACATCCATCCTTTTGGCTCAGACTGAAGTGAAAAGAAGGAAATGGGTCGTGTTGCTTCACTGTCTTTGTCACCAATAGAGAGAACAGCAAAGACAGTCTCTAACGAAGGGAGCTTCCATGGGTCATGGGGACTGGGCTCTGGAGAATACATCTAGAACCACAGATTCACAGAATGTTAATTCTGGAAGGAATTAGAAATAATCTCCAACCCTCCCTATTTTTCAAAGGATGATAATTGGCAGAGGCAGGCTAGAATTCAGGCCCTTTAATCTCATTGTACTATCATTTATCCCAGCCTTTTAGCCATTCCTTGAGGAAAGAAGCAGAGAGAATGAAGAGAGGGATCCTAAGAAATAAGGGAGTACTGGGAATTGCCAAGGAAAGGATCCCAAGGTTCTAAGGGAAGGGGAGGTCCTTGGGTTGGGGGCCTCTTCTTACCTGAAACGCCTGAGGCTCTAGTCCTCCAGCCTCAAAACCAACTCTGAGCAGTCGGAAGTCTCGGCCATGAATCAGGATCTCCTCAGGGATAAATTTAAGCAGGGACCCTGGACGATGGAGTTGGACTCGAGACAGGCTACTCGCTGAAGTCAAGAATTAGAGAGCAGTGTAGCCATGGATCAGGGTCCCTCTAGGAGGAACTCTTCCTGCCCACCCCATTGCATCTCTGGCTGTCCTCCGAGAACAGAGGAAGGATTGAGGCGGGGAGCCAACACCCCCAGTGAGCCCCTTCACCAAACCCCCACACTTACCAGCCTCTAATCGCCCAATGTTGGCCAGGGCAAAATCATAGTCACTGCTCAGGGGAGTCTCCTATGGGAAGCACATGACATGCTGAAGACGTCTGAAATCTCACATCCTATCTCAGCAGCCCCTCACCTTCCTAGAGATAGATCCCATTGACTACCCCTGATACATTCAAAAGAGAGCCTTTAAGAATAACTGTCTCACTTCCTGTAATGTTTGTCTAAATCCTTCTAGGCTCCCCTACCCATTCCCACTAGCTGTCCTTTCCAGTGGCCTAATCATCTCACCTGATTCCGCTGCCATCCACAGGGCTGGAAGGTGACCCTCAAGTTGGTGCAGATCAGGGTTCCAGGCAATTCAGGTTCCAGCCCCTTCCGCACCCCCGGGGCCCATGCTAGGATCTGCTCCCCTACAGGAGAAACCAGGTTATGAGCATTCCCAGTGTTACCCACACGTATACAGCCACTCCTCTAAGTCCTCTGAGACAGGAGGGTCTAAAGAGGGAAGATTAAGATCCTCCTCTAACTCCTAAGAATAAAAGCTTAGGAGGCGATAATTTGTAATCTTTGACTCTAAAGCCTAGAATAGTACCTGGCACATATTCTATAAATATTTGAGTGCCTACTAAGTAAATGAGAAAAGGGGTAACGGTGAAGAATACAGAGGGACCATTGAGATCCAAGCTCCCAGCCAGCTCTGATCAGAGAAGATAACAAGCCTCAAGCAGCAGCAGCTTTGAGCCCGGAGAGGAATATGAAGGTATCTTTCGTGAAAGTATAAAATAAGATTTGAGTAGAATGAAATTTGAAGGTGTTTCTGAAGATGAGAAGTACTGGAAGGACATCATTACCTGGGAGGCATCCAGAGGCCAGGCAACTACCAAGCCGAGGACTCCTGGGCTCCGGCATCCCACTCCCCTGGACGGACTGTGGTCCAGAGAGCTGTGAGGGGTATAGGGTTAATCCCCAGGCCTCCCCAACCCTGGGGTCTGGGGCTACCTCAGCAGCCACCTTTGGAGGCCTATACTCAGACTCTCAGGGGAAACTGAGATCAGTGGCTGTGGGGAGCTCAGGACCCGGCTCGGCAGACAGTAAAGGGAGGGGCTGGTTAATGGATAATGAGGCGATGAACTTGAGACTGTGAAAAAGACCAAGCTCCATCAGCCCGAGTACATGACACACCCTCCTCCTGCTCTAGACCCTTTTCTTCTCTTTTATCTCTACATCCCCCCTTCTCACACCCTCTGGCCTACCAACCCCTCCCCCCAAGCCCAACTTTCCTCTCCTTACCCCCATCTCTGGCTCCTTCTGGGGGGCGATGTTGAAACTCTGGCCCCGGCCCCCCCACCACATTTCTCTGGCTCCATCCGGGGACGGAGCAGTTAAAGGTGGGAAACCTTGAGGATGCTCAAACCACTTGGGGAGAGGCTGGATCTTGTAGTTGAGAGGAGGGAAGTTAGGGATCCGATCGGGAACGGGAACTGTCAGGGAAAAGGAACGTTTGAGGTGCACGGAGCACAATTTTGGGATCTTTGAAAGCTGTGTCCAGCCCAGCTAGAGGAGACTCCTCGGAAACTTCAGTCGACTTGGGAGAGGGCGGGAGAGATGCCCAGCCCCTTAAAGGAGCATACACACAATTTTGGGCAAGTGGAGCAGCCGGGGAAAGACGAGGGGAAAATGGGGAACTGGGGAAAAATACCCAGATTCCCTTCTTTACCCTACTCCTAGCTCCTATTCACTTCTTGTTCATGAGCATGGAGACTTTGAGGGGAGCAGTAATACCCAGTATTAATCTGGAACAATTTGGGCCACTTCTCTAGACTCTTGAGTGATGGCTTCCCTGGGAAGCTCAGTTTTTTTGTATCTTAAAAGGAGCGGGGGGTGGAGGAAGTGGGAGGAACACAAAAGTAGTTAAGACCTCCTTACAGCCTCCCCCGACACACCTAACAGGAGGGGTTGAGAAGTAAATGGAAATTAGGCCTCGGGAGTTCTGCCTGGGGAGACCCGAGAGCTGGGCAGGGGGCTGAGCTAGTGTTTCTGCACGTCCTCCGGAGAGCACGCACATACCTCGTGCGAGGGTGCAGTGGGAAAGGCGAGAAACTGACCTCTCCAGGATGCAGACGAGTACAGGTATGTTTATGTGCAAGTTCTGGGGTGGGGGCGGGAGGCCCAAGGAAAAGATCTTACCAACTTAATCCATCACACACACACGCACACACACACGCATGCACCCCAATTAGAAACTGGAGCCCGCTCCAGGTACATGACCCCTCCCTCCAACCCAGACACCAGATCTCCAAATTAATCATTCATGTTCAGGACTTTGAAAGCTGTGGGCTGGAAACCTGTTCAGTTCAACAATCCCATTCCTCCTCCCTCCCCCTTGCGATCCAAGAAACAAAGGTGGGGGAGGGCACTAGGAAGTAAAGGAACTACAGGTGAGGGGAACTAGGGTATGAATGCAAAATCTATGTTTAGACATGAGAAAGACAGGAAATACAAAACAAGAGTTAATGAGCTGCTGTTTTATTGATTTTTGAGTCTGTACAGAGGCAGCAATCCTTAGGTGGGGGCCCGTTTTCCAAAGTGTCACTTTATTCTCTCCACCCCCAGCACACACACCCTTCCGGCCTCAGCTTTAAAAGTTCCCTGTCTGGCTGCAACAGTGGAAATAGTGAAAATACATATTGTGAGACAGGGCGTCAATCTGGAACAAAGAGGAATACCTGATTCTGGAGGTCCTAAGAGCGACTAAGCATCCCCACCCCCACCTGCATTCCATGGGCCTCAACCTCTGGGGAAGAAAATACCTCCCAAGGTCTGCTGCAATAAGAGGTGTGTACCACAATTCTAGAATCTCATCCACTCGTCTCCCACCACCCTTCATTCAAGAGCCTCGTTCTGTTTTTTAATACTCTGAGGTAAGAACAACAGAGGAATACAGAGAAAAACATCAAGGGACTGGGGGCAAGTCAGAGGGAGAAAAAGGGTGACTTGGATTAGTACCCAACCAGGAATGCAATGGGGGCAGCAGCTGAGGGGTAACTAACAGCAGAACCACCTCTCACCACCCAATACACTCCCCAGTGGAGGCTCAGTGGACGAACGGAAGGGTGGAAAGGCCAGGGGCTGTACCAGATTAGTTTTCAGAATCCTGATCTGGTTGTAGGTTTGTGCTAGGAGTGAAGGCTGCCGGGAGGGGCAGCTGGAGGAGGAGCTGAGTGACTCACAAAATGAGTCACAGATCCAGTTATAAGCACAGAAAGAGGCCAAAGTCCTCCCCACCCCCACTCCCGTCAGTTCTGCTACTGTAGGCCAGCTTCCGTTCCTCTCTTTTACTGCCCCTTACCCACCAGGCCAGTGAAGGGAGGTGCCATGGAAAGTGTCTACAAGGGAGACTTCATAATATCTTAATCAACTTCTGTTACGTACAAGGGGCAAAACACCCTGTGATTTGCAGACTGGGTATCTACAAAGTGAGACAGTGCCTGTATGACTCACTGAATCTATAGTTGAAGGGCCTGGAGGGAAAAGGGAATTAGAAAATTCTGGGATGCAGATTCCAGGCCAGGAAGGGGCTTCTAATTCTGTCTTCTAACCTGTGGCGGTGTCTTGGGCACGGATGCTTGGAGAAAGAAGAGGACAGAGTCCAAGGTGTCTGAGTAACTCGGGGACAATCACCTCTGAAGCTCCTCTATTGGGAAATGTGACTGGAACCTTGGACATGTAGCTGTTTAGAAAGGAGTAATGGTAAAAGCTAGGTTCTCAGATGTCATTCAGAACCAGCTCCATTCTTTCTCGCTCAGTTATCACCTCCCAAATACACACTACGAAGTCATTGCTAATTTTTGTTTTATTGGTCTGTGAACTTGAGTTTTGCCTGAGAAGAAACTGAGCCAAGAGAAGAGGGAGGGTACTTCCCTCCAGGACCTGTACAACTCTGTGTTTAATACCATCCCCACTCCAGACAGAGACTGAATCTTTAAAAAATAATTTTTAAATATATGATGTTTTTATTTTGATGATAGAATCCAGTATGAGGGGGAAACTTTTGGTTAAATCTTGTAACCCTCAGTAAAACCAGCAGAGATTAAGGGAGGATTTTGGAGGCTTATAGTATGCTTGTTCCATCAGGGCTGGAGTGAATTAGGGTGGAGGGGTAACACTCTAAAACCAAAAGGGGAAAATCTCCCCTCCCCAATAAAAACTTCAGTAGGTGCCCCAACACCCTGGATTAAGTGCACTTATTTAAGCCTGAGAGGTATCATCCCTCAGCTAGGGTTATGCAGGTCTGCCTCCCCCACTTCACCCACAGACCTCTCCTAAAGAATTTTTGCTCAATTTGAGCACACACTGTGTACCACTCTTCACTTTTCTCGACACAGTAATTGCATGGGCTTGCCTCTTCCACCTCCTCATCTTCCCAAAATACTACAAACCAACCCAAGCTCGTTTCTTCACTCCATCCCACACAACCCCCTCAAATGAAGCAAAACAAACCTTACTCATCCCTATAGCAAAACATCCATTGACTCAGGGTCCCTCATCCTTAGAATGGAGAGGTTTTTTTAATGCCTCAATAGTTACCTTCCCAAATTAAGAAAAATATTAATTTATTTCTTAATAAAAAGTTATAGGGCCTAAATAAAGCCCTATTTTACCATACTCACCCTTAGGCCATCCCCCAGAATTTCCATCTTTTTTATTTGAAAAGAAGTCAGAAGAAATTGGGATTGGTTAATTTATAAATCAAAAGAAAAACAAACGACACAAGGTTTCCATTTTTGTTCATTTGTCCTCAGTTTTTAAAAACAAAAGTATTACCTAGAACTAATAACAACAAATCCAAACACAGCAGTCCAGTGGAGAATCAAAATGTTCCTGGTTTTGTTCTCTAGGGAAATCTCTGGTCTGTTTCCACTCCTACTGGTCCGGGCCAAAATCCTATGACATAGATGGATGCCTATGAGAAAGCTCAGAGAGTCGTGCAAATTCAAGGTGTGAGTCTGAGCCACCTGTGTTCGGGTGCACGGTAGGGGATGGAAGCCCACAAGGTGGTGGTCTCACTAGTGTTGTTCTAACCGAAAAACAGGGTGAGGGTGAGCAAGGCACTCATTTGGGGAACAAAATTTAAGTAGTGCCCAAAAACCCAGTAACCAAGATACTATTTTAATGCAGTATTTTTGAAAATCAAAACTGTTAAAACCAAAAACACAATGAACAAAGTATCGCAATTTTAAATAAAGACAGAATTCAATCCTGTATTTGCTCAACTCAGCCTTGCTTCCCTCATCCCAATCCCAGTCCTGCTAAATCCTGTCTTTAAGATTTTGGTGTTTTGTTCATCATATTTTTTGCATTGATTTTTAAAAAAATATTGCATTAAAACATTATCTTGATTACTGAGTTTTTCAGTACCCTCTTCAGTTTTGTACCTGAGAGGAGTGCTTGTCTCATACTAGTCCCAGCCCTGCATAGAATATATACATACCCTCCTTTGGAACCTAATTCCTTTGACCTCATTGCTTCCTTAAAACCCGTCTATTTTCAAATAAAAGCTTAAGAATTCATAGCCATAGGAAATAAGAAAATCAACAGACTATCAGATTTGGAAAATAAGTAACTTTCAAGTTTGTTAAGGAACCTTTCTAAAATGTGAGCAGTTCCAATGAAGAGGACAGTCTTGGTGGCTTTGTTACCAAGGGAGAAACAGGGTGACAACTTTCCTGATTGGGCAGAAGCAACATATGGCAGACACGAGCGCTCCCCCCGCCCAGCCCATGTCTGCCTCAGATCAAATGTGGGGATTACATTCCATGGGGTGGGTTGAGTAGATACCTTCAAAGAGAAATCCAAATACAGAAAAATAGCCCAAATTAACACCTGGACACTTAAGTACACTTATTCTCCTTCTTTGTATGTACCCAGGAGTGTATACAATTGCATAGTTGATTTTTTTCCCAGGAAAAGGAAAGGAAAAGGAAAATTGGCCCAGAATAGGCCCTCTGGTTTAAAGCTCTTAAAAATGGTGCTGGCCAGAGCATAGGCTGTCCAGACTTGTGCTTTGTGCAAAATGCAAAGGTGCTCCCCGCACTGTGCCCACAGGCCCACTCCCACCCCCTGGGGAAAAGGGTTGGGTCAGGGAAAGGGGAAAATCCAAAGACAGATCAGCTCATTGGGAGTAATCTGTGATCTGTGGTTATAGTTCACTAAAATAGATTTCTCTAACTACCTTTTTTATAAATTGCCCCAGCCTCTACCCCATGTTTCATCAGTCCCATTATAAAAAATATCTCTTCTTACAAAGTATTTTTTATTATTTTAATAAACTAACCACAGATTAAGGTCAGCTATGGCTTAACAAAAGAAGCCGGGATGTTAAGTTCATTCTCCAAAAGTAGAGAGGAAGGAGAAAGAATCACTTAAATAGGAAAAAAAAATTATTTTTAAAATGTTTTTGCTTGCTGGGGTCTTTTTCTTTTCCTTAAAAAAAAAGAAAAAAAAAAAGTCAAAAAATAAGTTGCTTTCTACAGAAATGCAGCAGCAGAGGGTGGTAGTGCTCTATTTAGGTTTTTGGTTTTGTTTGAAACAGTCTGGCCAAAGGTCTGTCCTCCCACCCCTCCCAAGGCACACTCAAACCCCAATATGTGGTTATTGCTAAGTAGTTTAAAAAAGATCACCTCTGCACCAATTCACCTGGAGAAAATTCAACACACACAGTTGGCTCTTCCCATCACTCTCTTCCCTTCCCCAGAGGGAACTTCTTTTTTTTAATAAAAGTCTTGTAAAAAAAAATCACAACCTTCTTAATTTAGCTGAGCTCAGCCCCTCAAAAAGGATGAGGAAAAGATAGGGGGCCATCGGCCATCTCCTCTCAAACGAGCACAGATGACAGACGGAGTTCAGAAGGAAATAAACTTAAGAGGAAAAGGCTTTCTCTTTTAAGTTCTTCCCTTCCCCATCTCAATAAACCCATTTAAACGACCTCCCTCCTAATAGGCACCCATAAGCACATATTTCTGCCCTGTCTTTCTCGACCCTTCAGGAGGAAGAATTTATCCAACCCTAATTTCTATCTTAATTCAAATCAATAGCAATTTGTCTATCAGTTTCTCTTCATACTCCCAACTCCACCACCATGCGTTTTTTTCAGCCTAAAAGAACTTTGGTCTGTTTTTTTCTTTTATTGACTAAGAACCACTTTTGCCTGTTCCTCTCCCAGACAGCTAACCACCTCCCCACCCCCACACACCAAACCTGCCCCTACTGCTTTCTTGGACCCAAGGGGTTATGAGAGAGAATCACCATCTTCCCCCTTTGTACCTCCTCAGTCCCATCAAGTCAAGATCTGCAAAGGACTAGTCCAGCCCTTGCGGCACCGTCCAGCCCTGGCCTGCTCTTGCCAGCCTGGCAGCTCTCCAGTGCACACACACTTAAAAGTTTCTAGCCAGGCTCCCACAAACATTACTGCATTTGCCCCGTCAACGTGGGGGCTGGGTCTTGATGAGCCAATTAGTTGAGCTTAACTTTCTTTGTTTAGCCCCCTTGCCCTCCAAGGTCCCCCCAATTCAGAACCTGTGCACCAGCAGCTCCCCACTTGGTTCCCGTTCCCTCCTCCTCAGTTCTTCCCTGTAACAGCAGGAGCAGAAGTTGTTTGTCTCAGGGTGTCCATAGAAGCTGCAGTTCGGTTGTTTGCATTTGGTCTGGGTTGGGGGAAGCCCCCTGGGCCCTCCAGCCCATCCATCTGGCTCAGGGGGCTCTCGGTAGCCGTTGCTATAGGAATCAGCCACACGGAAGTGGGGTGGTAACAATGTACCCCTGTGAACTCCATCCTGGGAGTGACTGCCTGGCTCCAGAGAAAGGCCGCTGTCCTGATGGGGGTAGGGTCTCCCAGGAGGGCACTGTCTAGGGAAGGTGGCATATGGTGGGAGGCCACCCCCACATGGACCCCCTGCCAACTGCCTCCGGGGTTCCTGGCAGTGAACTCCACCCCCAGAAGGCCGAGGGATTGTAAAGCCCCCAGGGTAGCCAGTAGAATATGCCATTGCCTTGGACTCTGTTTGGGGGGCAGTCAGCAGCTCCTCCCCACCATCTGGCTCTGGCTTTTTGGCTGGAGGAGGCCCACTCCCTACCCCTCCATTCATGATCTTCCTCTCAGACTCCTTCTGCTTCTGCTCTGCCAGGAATCTCTCTTCAGCATCAGAAAGGTAGCGCTGGATCATCTCCTCCTGATATTGGTGCCGGTGACCCATCTTCAGGGTTCCAACAAAAATAAACTTTCCCTCCCCTTGCATTGCAATCCTCATGATGCTCAGGCTTTGCATCACCTCCTGGCTATACTTGCTCCCTCCATTACCCACAGACTCAGATGTGGGCTTCTCAGACACAGGTCCATCCCCAGCTGCCTCCTCTTTGCCACCCTTCCAGCTCTTCAGTGAGTTTTTCTTTTTCTTCTCCAGTGTCTCAGTGCCACTGCTCACTCCTGACCCTGTTCCCATCCCCCCAGGCTTAGAACCCTTGCTGTGCATCAGGCCTCCCATGTTCTTCTTGAGCTTGCTGCCCAAGGTTTTCCCAAAGCTGCCCAGTTTGTTAGCCACAGAATCTGCCCTCTTCTTGTCCTTCTCCCGATCTCGTTTTGATTTCTCTTTCCGCTTGCTGCCTTCATTGCTGGTAGAACTGCTGCCAACTGACTCCTTGTCTGATTCCCCAGACTCAGGAGTGGACCGGGCCTCATCTCCAGCTGAGGCTGTGGGAGACTCAGGCTGGGCCAGGGGAGCCTGGAAGAGAAAAAACAGGGTTGTCAGTTTTCCCATTGGTCTGAGTTGGGGGAGGTACCCAGGGACCCCCTGCTCATCCATATGACTCAGGAATTAGCCAAGTGGAAGAGAGTGGTAATGCCCCTATGAACTCAACCCTTAGAGCGACTGCCTAGTTTTAGAGAAGGGTTGATGTCATGATGGGGAATGGTCACCCACGAGGGCAACTCCAGTCGCTCTCCCATGGACAAGGGAAAGATGTATCTAATATCTAACTTTTATATCACCTCCTGCAATGACTTCCTTCTGTAATAAGGAGATATTTCGATGAAGCCTGATGGCTCTTCAAAGCAATGAATTACGATATAGTACATGGCCTCTGGGTAAGGACAGAGAATATTCTATAAACACTGGAGTGTCCTTTATTTTATTATAAATTTCCCTATGCCAAATTCTTCCAAAATTAAACTCAAGAAAGTCTTGTCTAACCATAATCAACCAACTCCAACCATTCTGTAGTCCCCTCAACTTTTACACATTCAGCACTGGAATCCATCGATTTGCCCTTGCTCCTGTGTTCTTGTTCTATGGTTACTAATGACGTCCTCAGAACCTACTGGATCAGGAGCTCTTTAAGCTGTTCTGTCTCCTCTGGTGCCAACACAGAGGTCTACGTATAGACAACTTAGGACAAAGCAATGACAACCTCAAGTTCACCAAAAAGTCCAGAAAGCTTTCCTTGAAAAATGGGGTTTAGTATCAGAAAGCAGAGTTTGGTTGGAGAGATGTGGAAAACGGGGGGCACTAACAGGTAGAAAGGCAGGAAAAAGTGTCTTTGGGAACTTATCTAATATTTTCCAGTTATTCCTAATTTGGAATCATGAGACACCACTCAAGAGATTCAGAAAGAGAGCACCACCAAATCTCCTGTTCTCCGTCACTAAAAAGGAGGACCAGCAAGCGTCAGGTACAGATGTCCTCACCTGTGCATCAGAGGACACTGGGATCCACTTCACATTCATGTAGCTGTGCAACAGATGCAATTTGACCTCCAGGGACAGGATCACACTGTGAAAAGGAGAAAAACGGAATTAGAAATGTTCTGTGACCTATAAAAAGCAAAGCAGTGTGATTAGTTGGTGAAACAGGGTGGGTGAGGGCCACATGGCTTGGGACTGAGGCAAGGTTGGGTTTGAATTATAGCTCCACTAATTACTAAGCTTGATGACCTTGAGCAAGTCACTTCAACCTCTATGAAACAAAGTCGATAATGGTATGTATAGATAATAATATATCCTATAAGGTTGTTATGAAGATTAAAATGTCACTTAGAAAGGACACAGCACAGCCTTGGCCTGTGTGGCTCAGTGGTTAGAGCATCAACCTGGGCACCAAAGGGTTTGCACGTTCGATATCCTGTGAAGGGCACGTACTTGAGTTGGAGGTTTGATCCCTGGCCCCTGTCCAGGCATGTGCAGCAGAAAACAATCGATGATCCTCTCTCTCTCTCTCTGTCTCCCCTGCCCCCTCCCTTCCACACTTTCTTAAAAAAAGGGCACAGTACAGTGTCTAGCAAACAGGAAATTCTTACTAAACAGTAGCCATTGTTATCGTTGTTGTAAATATTACTTAGAAGGAGCTTTTGAAAGTTTGGTGAGAACTTAGTTAAAAAGCCATAAGCTCTGGGTTTTTTAATCAAACCCTCTCTGTAAGGAGCCCAAAGAAGGAAATGCTTCGTAAGAGGTAAGGGAGGAACTTTTACATTCGTATACTCATCACAGGAAGCTGTGGTGGGAAGCAGAGGAAGACTAAACCAGCTTCTGGGATGCAGGGCAAACAGTGGGGAAGAACATATTTTTCTTGCTATTCAAATTCTAGAAAGGCAAAAATCCAGAGCAAATTATTTTGGTCAACTATTTAAAACCCCTCTCACTTGGTCTGGGAGAAGAACTGTGACTTGAGTATCCTGATTTTCTGATCACCACTTTGGGGATTCTGGGAGGTATTAGTGCAAGAACACTCTTCATATTGTAAGAAAACAAGCTGAGAGTTCGGGATTTTCATCTTTCACAGGGAGAAAAAGCAGTTCCACGCTCCAAGAGTCCTGGTGCCCAATCTATCTTCCACCCGTCCATCATCCCAAAGATGTGGGATCTAGGATGTGACTGTCTTGCCTCTGGGCTGAGGAAAAGTCTCCAGGAGACAGACACTGTACGTGAAGAGATAGCAGCTACAAAGCAGATGGAATGGATAGGTCTGCCTCACCTGGCCAATCGGACATTGTCGTTGTCATCTTTGCCCCACTCCCAGCTCTTTCCAGGGTCCACAGCAAAGTGCAAGGGCAGCAGCTTATGTTCTGAATCTGTAAGTGGGATCACAGCTGGGGAGGGGAAAGACATGTCATCAAGAAGTCTCTTCAAGGAGAGAGGAAGGCAACTGAACACAGACTGACTTCACTGAAAAGGAGGCTGAATCAGACCACAGGTAGGGTACGATTAACTGTAGTCACTTCTCAGTTCTTACATGTGAATTACCCTGACATTAAAAACTAAAAGGCTGGTTTTCGCTTACTAGCCAGCACACAATTTAGGCCACTAATCTCCATGACTCCCCACCATCCAGTCAGCTAACACTCATGATATTTTTGCCAGTTAATGCAGATTCAGGGAATTGAAAGTCACTAAGACAAATACAGCAAAGCATCATTTGGAAGGTTCTATGACCTTAATACATAAGCTCTTTATTTTAGGAAGCAGAGAATATAGACTACTGTGCTTTCCCCCAAACCTTTGTTTATTTGTTTGTTTAATTTTAAAACCCTGGTGTATTGTATAGCTTAGAATAGTATCAACATGCGCTGACCGGCTTGCTCCTACATTCTCTCTCTCTTTCCAGTTTTTCCAAGTGAAAATAAAGCAGACCAAAAAGCACCAGAGACAGAGACACTGTATTCAGCACCTTGTTCCTTGCCATTCTCCTTCTGCTCCATGGACACAAGTGCAGAAAAGTGGGCCTGGTCATAGGCGAGCACCAGAGGGGAGCGGTGACACTGGCTGGCTGGGACTTCCAAGGGCAGATAGATTCCCCCAAAGGGAATAGGAGCAAATGCTGCAGGAAGCCACAAAGATTATCATTAAGGCTATGTTCTTGCCTAGTGGGCAATCCCTCTACCCCAATCTACCAACTACCCCCTTTTCATCCCAACCTCTGCTTAATAATTCTTTCCTAAGAAGCCTCATCAATTAACCCCAACTTGAATCTCCTGGGAATTTTGCATTGTTCTAATTTGCACCTTGTTTCCCGCCCCCACCCCACCCCACCCCCCGCAAGGGTCTATATATGCCCTTTCCTGCACTCCTCCCAGTGTTTAGTCCAAGGCTATGCACATAGTGGGTGCTCAGGGTGCAGTGAGGACTGACTGACTCACCTTCTCCCCCAGAGTCCCTCAGCATGGTGTCTGCCACGACGACTATGGGCCTCCTAAGCACATGGGCAAGGACAAAGACATGGAATTCTTCTAGACTCTCATATACAGGCTCCTCTGAACTCTCCACCCTACAGTTGCAGGAGGGGAAAGAGTGGAAGGGGTGCAAGTGGACGGGAGGGAAGAAAACAAAACAGAGACTCCTGAAGACCAGTTCTGCAAAGAGGAAAAAGAGGAAAGTCCTTGCCTGGTTTTCTAAGCCTAAGGCTGCCCCGGACATAGCTGATTATTTTATGCTACCATGGCTGTTTCTGCTTCCGTTTCACAGATGGGGAAATCCAAGAAAAGATATTTGAAAGCTCTGTGGATATATGGTTAAAGTAGTGTTAGAAATCTGAAGGCAATTTCTCTATTAACACTTGTCTTGTTCAACAACCTTACCCAATTCTCTTTATAAAGCAGCTAAATACACAACTGAGCAGCCTCATCCTGCTGGCTTTACCCACCACAACCACCCACACATCACACTGTCCAACGAAAACAAAAACTCCTCCTATATTCCCTTGATTGGAGAACAACCTCACTATTTACCTAGTAGTCTAATCAAAATCTGTGAAATATTTACTGTTCTTTATCTCTCACCTACAGTTAATCACCTGGTTCGGCCAATTCCATCTCCTAAGTGTCTCTTGTATCTGTCTCCTCTGGCTTATCTGTAATCCACTCCTTTGTTCATACCCAGGACTCTTGTTCTTGGATTACTACAACTGCCTCTAGTCTCCCTGCCCTCCACTGCATCATCCACTCTGCTGTCAGTGTGTTTAAATACAGTACATGAAATTGCTCCTGTCACTCACATACGCACAACTCAGTGGCTTTCCACCCCCCCTAAAGCAAGGTTATCCAACATCGGGTGCTTGCTACAAATGCAGATTTCTGGGCCTTGCCTCAGTCCAACTCAAGGGGGGGGGCCCTGAAATCTGCATTTTAAACAAACTTCCCAGATTACTTTTATGCACAACAAAGTATGGATCAGTTATAATTTTTAACTTTTTATTATAGAATATTTCAAAACTTTAAACATATTCTAAACTAGAAAGAATATTATACTAAACTCTCATGTATCCATTGCCCAGCCTCAACAATTATAATAAACACACGATCAATCTCATTTCACCTACACCTTGATCTATTTCCCTATCAGCTGCCACCCCCACCTCACCCACTGGTTATTCTGAAGCAAATCCTAGACATATCATTTCATCCATAAATATTTCAACTTCTATCTCTAAAAAATAAAGAACTCCTTTAAAAAATACCCACAATACCATTAATATCACACTTTAATCAAACATGTAGGCACTGTTCACATTGCCCTGTCTTATATGTTCATACGTTCCAACTGGTTGATATGTCTCTTAAGTGTCTTTAAACTTAGTTTCCCTCTCCCTTATTATTTTCCTTGCAATTTATTTATTGAGGAAATGGGGTCATTTGTCCTGCAGTTTCCCAAAGTCCGGATACCTTACCATGGTACAAGAGAAACCTGAGCATGGCACACATAACCTGGATTGCCCAGCCTCATCAGTCATTCTGCACCACACACTCTATATTCTGGCAATACTAAACTAAAACATGCGACTCATGCCATGGCTCCTCTCTTTCCTCCTAACATCCTCTTAGTACAGAGCTCTTTAGACTCTGAGGACTCAGTTAAGATTACTTTGTGTTCTCACACTTAGCCATACTTACCCACCACAGTTGGCTCCATTGGTACCTAGATGCATGCGGGGTTCACTTGAGGCAAGTTTGATCAGCTCATTCCATTCCTTCTGCCATTCATCCTCTGTGTATACCAGCCCCGACTGTGAAAGACAGGCAGGGGATATCAAGCAACTAGAGGCTAGGTTCAAGATGCAATAGCCATTCCAACTCACTCATATTACCCCACACCCTATTCTCTTAGCATTTGGCTTATAATTTGTACTATAAAGTCAAATCTCTTCTCCCTTTTAAAACCAAGACCCAAGAAAGAATATTCTATGATCTCTCTCACATTTTTCTTCCATTCTTTCCAACCCATTGCAATCTAGTTTCTGTTTCTGCCCTCCAGCCTACGCCCTCCACCTCCACACACCGCTTCACCTAACCAACTCTGGGCAAAGGACAGTGACCTTCTAATTGCCAAATTCAGTGGACTCACTGGTTCTCATCTTTCTTAGCCTTCATGTGGCATTTGATCTCTTTAAATTCCCTTCTCCTTTAGCTTCCACATTACTTTCTCCTATCTCTGTGAACTCTGCTATCCCAGAAACAGTGTTGTGTGTTAATGATTTTAGACTTGGTTTCTCCTGGGTGTCTCATCTACTGCCATCTACATGCTCAGGACTCTAAATTCTCCCTCTCCAGCTGTAGGAAACCATGAAGATTATTATTAAGGCTATGTTCTTTTGTAGTGGGCAATCCCTCTTCCACTCTGCCAATTGAGTCCCCCTTTTCATTCCAACCCCTGCTTAATAATTCTTTCCTTAGAAGCCTTATCAATTAACCCCAACTTGAATTTTTTGAGAATTTTGCGTTGTTCTAATTTACACCTTATTTTTTCCTCCAAAGGTCTATATATCCCCTTTCCTGCACACCTCGCAGTGCTTACCCAAGGCTCTGCAAATAATGAATATAATTCCTATATTCACATTCAGGTGACTACTGAAAATTGCCACCTGCCCACGACTACCACAAACTCTATACAGTCAAAACTAAACTACCTCTTCCAAACCCACTCTTCTTCCCATAGTCCTACCTTAGTGAAGAGCACCAACTAGCACTCAAACGCCCAAGCTAGAAACCAGTGACTTGTGGAAGACTCCTCGCCTTTCACCTACCCACACTGGGATCCCTTTAGTCAATAATCCTTAAGCATAAACTACTGCAATGGACCCTTAACTGGTTTTACCACTTCCAGTCTATACATTCTTCTGATCCATTTTCTGCAATGCCACCAGAAAGATGTTTGTTTTTTTAATTAAAATATGATGTTTGCTTCCTGCTACAAATTCCTTGAAGAATCATTACCTATTAGATATAGTTCAAACTCCTTAGGCATAGCATTCAAAGTCCACTTCCTGGCCCCTACCTACCTTTCTGATCTCATTTAATTAGCTGTAGTTTCTTGAATGCACCACATTGTTTTATACTTCTGAGCCTCTGTCTAAGTTGTTTCCTCTGCCTGGAGCAGCCCACTCCCAATTCACCCAGTGAATAGTTTCTCATGTCAGGAGACAACCCAAGTACCACTCCTCTATGATGCCTTTCCTAAATCTCCCTGGTAGATCAACTACTCCTTCCTCTGTGCCCTCCCTCCTCCACTGCTACACAGTCTCCCAGCATAAAAGTCAACCCTATTACTTTGTTGTAATTATGTATCTACATGTCCGTCTCCTCCTGCTACTCTTAAGGGCCTGGACCAATTTTTATGCAAAATGCCTAGTGCCTACTATGTGATTAGTAATCAATAAATATATATGCTGAGTGAAACTGTAATTTCCATCAAAGGAGCAGAAGTGGTACAAACAATTTAAGAACATCATATTGGCTTTAGGATGCATATGATGATATGGGAGATGAGTCTATTATATTTGGTTTACATTAGTATTAAAATGCTTAAAAACCACACTGAAAGAGTAAAAAGAATCACAATGAAAAGAAACGTGAGGGGCATCAGGAAAAATTTAACAGAAATTAAAGAGCTACTGTGAGCATGTTCTACTTTAAAAAAAATGACAAAGCTATTTTCAGTATGTAAATTGATATCAAAATTTTTTTCAATTAAAAATAATAAGAACAATGCTCAGGTTATATATAGGGTGCTCTGGTCACTCTGATACATGGTAACTGATACATATCCAGGAGGATCTGTCTCCCTCTTCCTTTCACCTATTTCTGCTTGCTGTTCTTACACACAGCCACTAGGTGGCGTACCCTTCTAGCTTGAAAATGTTCTCACTGCGTTTTACCAACCAAATTCAACACAAAACAAGGAGGTCTGGAAATCAAAATCATTTTTGTGTGGTATTTGATACTGCCTAATAGAAGCCCCCAATCCATCACCACTCTCCTCCCATTCCCACTCCCAAGATCTGAGCAATCTGAGCTCAATTACCTAGACCATATTTCTAGTGTGGAACTTTCAATGTGCCCCACAAAAGGAGTAAAAAGATTGCTCCTTAGACAGCTACTATTCTCTATGCATATATTTTCACTGGAGACTTTGAGACGGAGTAAGTGGCTGACCAAGAATAGAACTTGGGGTTTCTGGGTCTCCTCACTAAATACCACCATAATCTAACCCCACCTTTAAAATAATAACTATAGCCCTGGCCAGGTAGCTCGGTTGGTTAGAATGTTGTCCTGATACACTAAGGTTGCGGGTTCAATCCCTGTTCAGGGCACACACAAGGATCAACTAATGAATGCATAAAAAAGTGGAACAGCAAACTGATGTTTCTCTCTCCCTCCTTTTTTCTCTCTTTCTAAAAAACAAACAAAAATAGTAACTGTAATAGCTTAAAAGCTGGAACTGGACACACCTATTCTGGCTGTTGCTGTCACTTCTACTTAATAACCAGCATGTTCTGGTTTGGACTTTTCTTGTCCCCACAGTGGTCAAATCTAAGGTTAAGGTTTAGATGTTGTGTGAAGAAGGCAAACTCTGGGCTGGCTCTATCTCAGGCAAAAGAAGGTCTCCACAAGGTCCAGTTCAGCTCACCAGGGAGCCATGGGGTTTGGTGGTATAAAGAACTTGCTGTGTACTTGGCCATGCCCTGTGCATTTATTTCCCTCAGGAATCTTCTGGGGCAGATTGCTGATCAAAGATAGGATTCTGATCTTATTATCATCCTAAATTTAACAATGGGTTCTTTGTTTTTTAAGAAAGAAACAGATCACATTCTACTTAATGTATTTTAAATCTTCAGGACATAAAATTCTAATGACTAAAAAAAAAAATCTTAGTTCTATATATGGCCAGTTATGATAAAACAATAAAAGGAGAAAAGAAAGAATATGAAAAGAAAAAGGTAAGTTTCTGAATAGATATTCCCAAGTTAATGCCAGAAACACCCAGCCATATACATGGCAAAAAAGAGATACACCCGAAGGGCAAGAGATAAACAAAGAAGACAGAACCAGGGGAAAAGGAAATAGCGAGACCCATTGTCTTTATATAAATGTTAATGTCAGTATTAAAGTTAAAGGGAAGGGGTGGGTAAGCTTTTTCTATAAAGAGCCAGATAGTAAATATTTTAGTCTTTGTGAGCCATACCCAATTACTCTATTCCGCTGCTATAGCAGGAAAGCACTTACATAAACATACACATGTAAATGAATGGGCGGGGCTGTATTCCATAATTTTTATTTTTTTTTACAAAATCGGTTGGTGGAATTTGGCTCATAGGCCATAATTAGCCCAACCCATTATGGGGATGGAAAATACAAACAGTCCATTGTTACTTTCTTATACAAAAGCAGCTTCAACATTTCCTAAGCCCCTGAGAAGTACCATTCAAACTCAATTTAACAGGCATGCTTTTAAACTTTTTAAACAAACTAAGTATCTGAAACATAAATGGTATATATGGCCAAAAATATATTTAATTTTTTACTTATTTATTTTGAGAGAGAGAGAGAAAGGGGGAGAGAGAGAGAGACATCAATTTGTTGTTCCACTTACTTATACATTCATTGGTTGAATCTTATATGTACCCTGACCAGGGATCGAATCTGCAACCTTGGTGTATTGGGGCAATGCTTCAACCAACTGAGCTACTTTGGCCAAAATTATTTTCAAGTATTTATATTTCTACACAGGTTGAGAACACAAGTCCTTAAAAATTGGTCTAGTCTTATTATAAGCAATAAAATCCTATGGACTTATATCTCATTTTGTAAAAGACTGCCACTAAAGACTTACTGAGTACCTATCAGGTGAAAAGCTGAGTTAGATACCTCCTCTAGAGGTCTCGGCTTCCCCACACCAGTACTCATGACTATATCAGAAGGCATTGGTGTTATCTGCATTTTCTACAATTTCCAGGATTACCGGAGGACCTAGGAAGCACCAGGAAACACTTCTTACTGGAAGGCACTGAGCATTTCCCCTGGGTAACTGGGAAGCAAGGTGCTACCACCCCAAGCTCCCTCACCTCTTTATTCTGCTGTGTTTGCTGCCACCTCCAGCGTCGTTTTAATGCTTCCTTCTCTGCTCCCTTTTCCATCAGTGCATACAAAGCTTTCCGCAGCATCAAGTCCCGATCATGGAAACCCCACATCCCTGTGGCAAGAAAACAACAGTAAGACACCTTCCCATGACTCAATTCCCCTTATTAATTACGATACACAGATCCTGGAATGAAGGAAATCAGACTGAAGCCAAGTTCAAAGAAACCTTTCTGTTACTTAGGGGAAAGGTACTGAAGAAAAAAAAAATGTTCCTGCTTTAGAAGTTCAGAAATTTTGAGGACTTGAAAGTGGGGGATACACCACACCCTACAGACTCTTGATAGAAAGCCCTTACTCCTGATGCAAGTCTAACAAACTAAACAGGGTAGCAGCAGATGAGACAGGTTTGGAACATGACAATCAGCATCAAAACTTGAGGGATGGTTGGAAAAATGGTGATTTTTTTTAAAGCTAAGGCAAATAACATACTAAGTTATAAATAGCCTTTATAAAGTTATTAAGTCTGACAGAGGATTAATGAAAACATACTTTTTTATATACCAAAAGAATAGACTTATATACACACACATAGAGCTATCTATTGTCTGCTTTCTGCTGCTCATTATTTTTGACAGTCAACTTCATGTGTCAGGATAATTCTGTGTTCTCCATATGATTTCTGAGTAAGACTGAAAAACCAGGGCAGGACTCTCTTCCATCTCCTGCACCAACACACACACACACACACACACACACACACACACACATAGGTCTTTGCTCTGAACCATCACTTCTGTCTATGATCAAGGCTGGTTGGACCAAGTCCTGCACATGACACTTAACTCTACTGATTCTTTCTACGAGGGAATGGAGGGCCACTTTCAAGACTCACCAAGAGAGGCTGCATGTAGGAGGCAGTTTCCATCTCCAGTAGTTGCCAAAGGAAGCAGCCTCTGACAAGTGGGGTCCACACTCACCCACCAGTTTAAACGCCCTACAGAAAAAGGAAGAAAAGAAGGGCAGATTACCCATAAAGCCCTTCCCACTTCCCTAATTTTAAAACAGACTCCAAATCTGCCTCTTCTAGGAAGCCTACCAGAATAAAACCATCATGCTATTACTCTTTATATCTCCTTCACTTATATCCAGTTGATCAGAACTTGGTGAGCACAACTGGTTAGATCAGTGGTTCTTTTTTAAAAAAATCCTCACCCAAGGATGTGATTTTATTGATTTTAGAGAGAGAGGAAGGGGGAGAGAAAGAGTGAGAAACATAGATGTGAAAAAGAAACATCCATCAGTTGCCTCCTATATGCACCCCAACCGGGGATTGAACCTGCAACCCAGGTATGTGCCCTGACTGGGAATCAAACCACGATCTCCTAGATCGTAAGTCGATGCTCAACCGCGGAGCCACGCTGGCCAGGCTCATGTATTGATTTTTAGGTCCTGATTCCAAGGCCTTTTGTATGTATATCTGGTATCCCTTCCATTAAACAGGAAATTTCCAGAGGAAAGTATCTAATTTGTGTCCTTTCTTTAACCTGAAGAAGTGCCTAGCTTAGTACATGCTTATCTGACTGCTGACTTTGATTGTAATCAGATCACACGCTTCGACTGGAAGTTATTGGTAAAGCCCCATTCCGCCAAGTGGCTGCCTACAGGAAGAGAGCAGAGGGAAGAACATGAAAAAGAAAGAACTTACTGACCTGCCTGTTCTAAGGCAACCAGCATGGACTGTTCAATGAGGTCTCTCTCTATGAAGCTGCGAAAGTCTTCATTGTACACAGTGAGATCTGGAAGCTGGAAGGCACAGATGGGCATTTCCAGGGGGTGCTCACTGCTCCCCCCACCCCCACCATTGGAGGAGACATGGGACCGGGCCAGGGAAACAATGCTGGAGCTGGCGTGGGAGATGCCCCTAGACAGGCGTTTTTCTGCAATGAGAAATTGAGTCACCTTAGAACATACACAGCTCATTCAGAGGACTTTCCACTCAGGGAAAAACTGAGTCTCAATGGCTGCCAAATACCACAACCCTTTCTCAAACCAAACACAATTGGAGAAATACAGAAAATGGTATTTTTGTGCACTCACATTAGCACCAAATATACAATCCTCTTTCTACCCTTTTGGGAATCTGCCTTAACTTCTTCCTCTTCCCATCACTGTCTTTTTCCACTTTCATTTCTCAATATAATAGGGACCCATTCATTTGGCAACTTGGTCACTGTTAGGTGGAAGGAAGAGGGAATAAGGGAAATGGGGTTGCATTTGGCTAGATTGACTTAAGTAATCTCTCTGATAATTTTAAGGGTCTTGGAGAATATAGAAAAGGATTTTCATTATAGAAAATTAATGAAAAATCTTACACATTCAGGAACTTCCTTATCTACATTAATAACATTTAATCACATTATTTACAACAACTTTTCTTGATACTCACAGTTATCACAAATGTATGGGTACAATCAATTCTTACTTAACTCGCTACAGAGGAAGATAGTAATGTAGACAGTGCCTCAAATTACTTCATTTATTTTGAATACATGGCACTTACAATTCTCCAGCAGATATCCCATTGTGATAATAATTTGCTCACTGTAGTATTATAATTCATTTGCATGGCTCAAGTTATAGAAAGATTATCAAAAGAGCTAAAAAATGAGTTGGGTAGCAGTTCTTAATCCAATATTTGCCAGAGATGATGTACAAAGTAAGTTGAGATTTGTCTAAAAATTATTTTATAGTGATATTATTTTTTAAACTCTTTTTTTAGGTATTTAAAAATACCACATGCCTATGGTAAAAAATCAAAATACTATCAAAAGGTACAAAGTGTTACAAAGAAATCTTCCTCTCGTTCAAAATTCCTGATCTCTTTCCCAGAGGCAACCTTTCACATAGCCTTCTAGAATTTTTTATGCACATAGAAGCATATAAAGCTTTTAAAGTCATTTAAAAAACCTAAACAGGAGCATACTATATACTGTATCTTACCTTTTTTAATAGATTTTAGAGGTTTCTTCCCAAAGCAGCACATCAAGTTCCACCTACTTCTTTCTAACAGCTACAGAATACTCCACAATATGGATGATTACAAATTATTTAACCACTCCTCTATTAATGGATATTAAAAGTTCTTTTCAAGCTTTAACTTTCAAGCTTTACACTAAATATGTGTGTGTCTATTTATATATGTATTTATTTATTTAACGTGTGTGTGTGTGTGTATATATATATATATATACACACACACACACCACACACACATATACAGAGACATACATAAACACACATGATAAATTCCTAGAAATGAAATTGCTGAGTCAGTTTATATATGCATTTTTAAATTTTGGTAAGTACTGACAATATTAACAGAGTGGCCTCCAAAGAAGTAGACAGTAGTGACCCGTTGAATTCTGTCTTTATGTGTACCTTATCTCAACAATTAGACCGTATTCTCCTTCCTCTATTTTTTCACAGTATCTGAAGAAGAGCTTTATACAGGATAATAACACTCAAGACGCAGAGTGACAGTAAGGGGCTCCAACACCTGGACAGATTGAGGCCACCTCTGACCAGTTTGGCTGGGGATAAGGGGGAGAATGGAATCATCTCTAAAGAATCACTGAACTCCCTGACTCCATTTGGCAGCCCCCACCCTTCCTTTCTACTCCATACGAAGTATCCCTCAGTTCCTCCAGTACCTTGAACGATGTCATCCTGCCGCTGTAGGGTAGGTCGGGGAGGGCGAGTAGACTCTCTATCAGAAAACCCTTTTTCAGAGGTCCTGGAGGCACCACTCCCTTCACTAAAGGGTTGGGGCAGGTTCCCAGCGTGGACCTGACGTAGCTGTTCAAAGTCACTGAGGGCAGCACTCACATCCCAATTCTTTCCTGTCAGGAGACAATGCAAAAAGTGAATTGGGCACTTCAAATATAGAAAAATTGAGGGAGGACACTAAACGATCACTCTAACCATCCTATCAAAATTAGCAAGCATTTACTCATGCACACTTTAATCATTCTCCTTTCTTTACCCTGCTTTAATTTTCTTCATAACACTTCTATCCGAAATATCAAAATTTCTTTCTTTACTTATTGTCTATTTCCTAACTAAGCTCCAATAACACAGAAACTTAGTCTCTCTGTACTGAAAGGCCCTTAGAGACCTAGTAACCTCATTTTACATATAAAGGATATGAAGCTAAAGAAGTAGAGCGACTTGCCCAAAGTCACAGCCAGTTTGCACCCAGGCCCAGCAGGAATCAAGCCCAAGTTTCCTAATTCTAAGAGTTCTTAACCTAGACATCCTCTAGGGTGTCCTAAGCCATCTGAAACTGTATACAAAGTTATAGGTATGGGCATTTTTCTGAAGAGAGAGCTACTAGCTGTCATCAGATTATCGAAGGGAATTAACCCACCCAAATTTAAGAATCACTGCTCTACTGAATGCTGAAGACCCTAAAAGACAGATTTGTTATAACAGATTCTTCTGTTGCTTTCAACAGTTAAGTTATTCTATAAATAACAAACTGCATAACTCTTCACATTTCCTCGTGTTCTATTCCATCTGCTACCACCTTAATTCAATTCCTATCACCTAGTGTCCCACCTCCAATCTATTCTAAAGAATTCCTTGAGATTATTCTTTCTAAAGTACAGTTCTAATCATTTCAATTTCATAATCAAAATCTTTACTGGCTTACCACTGTCGATGGAATAAAGCCTAGGCTCTTTTGTGTGACATTCAAGGCTTTCTATGACCTAGTCTATTTTTCTAGCCTTTTTTCTGTACTTCAATTTCCCTGGCTATAAAAGTGGAGATGATATCATATTGGGTTGTTATGAAGATTAAGTGAATTGAAAGCACTTAGAACAGTGCTTGGTACACAGAAAGCATTATATATGCATTTAATGCCGATAGTGTTATATTTCTTATTATTATAAGTCTCCAGCTAAGCTATATTAATCATCCATGTCTGCTGAATTTACTTCTGCACCATTACATTCACCATTTGTTCCAACTCCCTCTGCTCACTCTGCTTTAGTCATACTGGCCTCTTTGCTGTTCCTAGAACATGCTAAAGACTGCTCCCGCCTACGGCCTTTCCACTAACTATTCCCTCTGCTCTTTCCCCAATATATCTACAGACAACTCCTCATCTCCTTCAGATATTTGTTCAAATGTCGCATTCTTAATAAGGCCTACCCTGACTAGCCAGTAAAAACCACAACCTCATCACTGCTCTTACAATTTTCCATATCACCTTATTAATACACTTTACAATTTACTTGGTTATAATGTTTATTGTTTATTGACTATCTTTCCAACTGTACGGGCAGAGATTTTTGTCTGTTTTGTTCAAGTACCTAGAACCTGGCACATAGTAGGGTACTCAATAATGTTTTTTGGAAAATGAAGAACTTTTGTCCTAATAAATGAATGACATTTGTCTTGAGCACCAGATCTATATTTCCAACTGTTTCCTCATAAACAGTCAACGTGTCCAAAACTGAATGTCCATCATCTTCCCTCCCAAAACTTTTTTTTAATGTGTCTTTGATTTCAGAGAGAGGGAGAGAGAGAGAAACATCAGTAATGAGAGAGTCATTGATCGGCTACCCCCTGCACTCTCCTAACTCAGGATCGAGCCTGCATCCTGGGCATGTGCCCCAACCAGAAATTGAACCGCAATCTCCTGGATCCTAGGTCGATGCTCAACCGCTGAGCCATGCCAGCTGGGCTCCCTCCCAAAACTTGTTTCTCCTCCGTCTATATTCCCCAAATTAGTCCCTCCAGGTCAGAAATTTCAGTCATCTTCAGCTCTTCACTATTCCTCAGATTTGATTCTTCATCTTCCCTCACTCATCTAGTCAATCCTCAGGGTTGTTTGTATCCCTGAAACATCTCTCAAATCCATCCTTCCTTGTTCATTTCTATTGTCACTATCCTAACTCAAGTCCTCACAATCTTCACCTGGTCTTTGGTCTTTTGGGAAGGGCTTTCTAGTCTCTACTACTCTCCCCTCTCTAATTTATTCTTTACATTACAATCAGAGTTAACTTTTAAAGAAAAAAGTAAGAGACAGAAAGATAGAGACAAAAAGAAAATGACATCAGGTCCTTTGGTTCCCCTTCTAAATTATATCTTCAATCCATCCACTTCTCACTCCACTGCTACCACTGTAGTTCAAATCACCATAATCTCTCACCTAAACTATGGAAATATTCTTAACTGATTTTACCACTTCTTCTCTGGCCACCTTCCAATCCGTTCCATTTCCTTCAACCAGTACATTGTTAAAAACTCAAATCCAATCATGTCACTCCCCTGGTTAAAATCCTTCACCAGCTTCCCACTGAAAAAAGAATGAAATTTAAACTCTACACCACGGCCTACAAAGACCTCACCCCCTATTGTCTCTCCTGTCTATCCAGCTTCCTACCTCTTGCACCAGTCTTACTACCTCACTATTAGTTTTTCCTATGTGCCAAACTCTCTTTCACCTTAGGATCCTTGTATAAGCTATCTCTTCTACATAAGCACACTCTTCTACATTCCTTTGTCTTGCTACTCCTACATATCCTTCAGGGTTCAGCTCAAATGTCACTTCCTCAGGAAGGCCTTTCTGCACTCTCTATCTAATTTTGGTTTCTCTCTTACACTTCCATAGCAGTTCTTTCATAGCATGAGTGTGTGCATATGGGTATGGGGGTATGGCTGTGAGAGAGTGAAAGCGAGACAGAAAGAATACTCAAGCATTAATTTGTAATATCATTGTTAAGAGCCAGACTCTGAAACCAGATTGCCTAGGTTCAAATCCTACTTAATCTCTCTGAACCTCAGTTTTAAAATTATAATACTGGGAATTGCAACCCTTATCTTCTATTTCCAAAGTAAGGCTCTACTTACAGATAGCTAAGCAAATGTCAAATTGTTATACCTTTCCAAGGGCTGACAATTTATAAAAAATTACCCACGTATACTAAGAACTTGCCCCTTCCCCCACAGGCTTATCTATTTGAATTATTATATATTTTCATCATTAAAAAGCATCTGTTAATAATGACGCCAAACAAGAATCTCACACTGCATGATTCCAAGCCTCAAGGACTTTAAAATCTAGAACATTCACACTTATGTGTATATACAGTTACAAGTAAATAAAAGCAGCAAAAATGAAGACATTAAAATTAATTCACTCTACAGAGAATTATCCATACAAAATAGAAAAGAAACAAAACCATGGATAATCCCAAATATGAAAATCCAAGTCATTTATACATAAAGAAATCTTAAAGATCTAGAGTTATGCTTTTAGTGAACTAATATAAAATTTTACTTCCCTTACCTGAGCATAAATTGGCAGTGGAGAAAGCTATCCTAAAAAAATTCAACTTAAAACGAGTTTGCATTTTAAAATGATGGTGGGTCAGATATAGATTATTAGAAGTAACTTAAATGTAAGGCCTACCATACACAAAATGTCTTTCTGATCACCTTCAATGTTCCAAATCATCCTGAGAAGTACCACATTTTACTTTCTTCTCATTCTCCCCCAATCATCTCCTACCTTCCAGGAGGTCTCGGGCCAGCCCTGGCTCAGCTCCCGTGGAACGAACAAAATCCGACAGGACAGCATCCATGTCCAGGGTCATGTGATCATTAAGTACTTTCAGGCAGTGGATGTAGGGAGGACATAGATCAAAATTCGGGCCTCCACCTGAGAAAGAAATAAACATGTAAGGTTCAAATTACACTGGAATGGGATGATCATAGCCCAATTTCAGCAGCTTCCTAACCAAGTGGGGAAGCTAACCATCCTAGTGCATTCATTTCAGGTTGAATTTATTATGAAGAGTAACACTTAGCTTCCTAATTCCTCATTAATATTATATTAATTTCTTAACTACTACATTAACCACAAAACCACAATACCACACCAAATAATGCTTTTCCCCTATATTTCTAGAATACTACATTTCTACCCATCAGTTTGCTTATCTAACCTAACAGAAGGAAGCAGCAGACTACAACCCTGAAAAACTCCCAACCTGCATTATTCTCTAACATAACACTTTGTTTATGTCCTTCCTGGTACTTTATATACTCTGAAATTATTTTAATTAGTTACTATCTGGCCTTCTCCTCTAATATGTAAGTTTCTTGAAAGCAGGGAGCTTGTGTGTGCTGTTCATTAATATGTCCCCAGCATGTATCACCTGGCACTTGGTACAGTGCTTGGCACACAGGCCCTCAGTAAATATTTGCTGCATGAATGAATGAGTGAATACTACACACTAACTTTACAGCTGACCACTCTTCCAATGCTAGTTGAGGAAATGGGAGGAACAAAATATCTGGAACAACCTAAAATAAAACCATAAGCTATTACACAGAGTGGAGATCCCAAAGGTTCATAGCAAAAGTCAATCTTTGTCCGCTGACTCCACCCAGGACAAATGATTGCCAAATAAGTTCACCTGAAAAGGATCTCTTCTTTCCGACTTGACTTTGGCAGAAACTGTGTCCCTGACTGACAGCCTGGCACCAACCTGAATTCCTCTGAAGTTAGTAGTCCCAGCTGAGGAAGCAATAATGGAATGAAGAACAATCTCTAACCAAACTGCCATAGCAGACAGGTTGTTTATATTTCTCTGTAGAGGACTTGTTCATAAAGTCACCAGGTACACACCTGCCCTACCACACTGACTCATCTCCTGCCTTTTGGGGAAGGCAAAAGTAGAATTCTCAAAGGTAACGGGTGACTGTCTCTTTAGAAACATCTCAGATACTTTATCTTCATACCACCCTTGACCCCAGGACACCACTTGTTTAGTGGTGTGATCAGATTCTGATTTTCGGCATTCCTTGGAAGTATTAGAGGTCACTAACTTGATAACAATGAATTTTTCTATGAGAGAGATGGCAAAATAGAAAGTATTCTCTCTTGTACTGTATAAGAGATGTAGAAACGCTGGGACATGTTTTATTCATATTTGTAGCCCCAACACTTAGCATAGCATCTAGCAATATTGTAGGCAGCCAATCAATGTCTGATTAATAAATGATTAAGTGAACGTCCACTTCAGCTACCACCAAACCAATCAATCTGAGGCTTAACTTAGCAGATCAGAAATTCTAGGGTACTTCATACTTTGTATCACTCCTCTATTTCTAAGGGCTTCCCTGGTCCCAGTCCATCTCTCAAAGTTTTATAAACTCTCCTTTCTAAAGAGACATCAACTGTACTGTCACTACTTCCACCATCCTCATATCATATGATTTTTACCTACACCTGTATGTGTTAGCTGGGTGACTTTTGTCAAATTACATACAGGGTTTCAGTTGCCTCATATATCCTAGACTTGGAGTCAATGACTTCTAAGATCCTTTCCAGATTTAAAAAAAAATGAATTTCAGTTCACTACAGCCTCATAAACTATGATCCTTATGTTCTCTTTGGTCTATGTATTATCAATGGCTAAATTACTTCCATTCCAGTATCACAATTGTCAGAAAAAGCTACAAATACAAAAAGAACTTTTGGCCTAAGATACCTCAAATTCAAAATGTTATAAAATAAATTAGTTCCTTACATTTAATACTTAAGAATTAAATTTCTTAAGAATTCATAGATAAACGAGTGGCTTAATACAGATAAAAATTCCTTCTCTAGGACCATTTCAGTCACTGTCTTAGGTCACAGGAGATGGTAGCAGCCCAAATAACTTTAATGCATGAATAATCCAAAACCAAGCGCATACCTGAAAATGAATTTGCCAACATAGTAGGTCATTCTTCTCAGGAAATATTTTTTAAAAGTAATTTAGGGGTCCAACATTATCTAGAATGACTTGACTTGCTCAAAAATTCAAAGCACTAAGCCATATTTCTTGGCAGCACATTCTTATACTGATGTCTCCAGGTGCATGCCATGAACTTCACCCTAACCCACCCAACAGGTGAGGACAGCAGCTTTTGTTACATCACCACCAACACCTGGCTTGAGCTTCTCAAATTCCAAATGGGAATATCCAAGGCAACACCGAGACTCACAATCCTTGGCTCTGTCTCAGAACACAGGAAGGAAACGAAGAAAACAAAACCCTGGCTTTCAAACCTTCAAATGAAAACAGAAGCAGCATTCAAATCGTTGTTGATTGAATGATACTTAGACAAATCGCAATTGGAGTCAAAATCCTCCAATCTTCCAACTGGAAGAAACTTCAGCAATTATTTAATCCATAGTTTGTCCCCATGCAAGAAACCTTCTATTATATCAGATCAATCATCCAGTCTCCACATGAATAGAAGCTTTGATGGAGAACTCATCCTTTGCTAGGATGTCCATTTTATTGTTAGACAGATTTAATTGTTAGGAAATACTTTTCTAAACTAATCACCATCCCTCCCCCACCTATAACTTTCAAGTAACGATCCTTGTTCTCTTCTCCAAAACAGTAAAATCTACTCCAGGGAATGATGAAATTTTCACAGGAAATGATCAGATTAAGCATTTCTTTACATAAAAATTTGTTGTGGCTCAATAGTGCAATGTTATGAGCCAGCCAGTGACTCCTACTTTACAAAATCCTCTCTTCCACAGCAGCACCTGCTTTTACCTGTATTCATTTGTAAAAGTGCTGACCCTGTAAGTGTAAACTCAACACATGGAATAAATGAAATTGGGTTCCCTGTTCCAAATGCACTTCTGCTATCTTTGCCTCTCATCCCTACTCTCACTTCTGTGCCCTCTTGAACTGATGCCAACAATCAAGAATAAAAAACAGCTGGGCCGGGCATGGCTCAGCGGTTCAGCATCGACCTAGGATCCAGGCGATCGGGGTTTGATTCCTGGTCAGGGCACATGCCTGGTTGCAAGCTTGATCAATGACTTTCTCATCATCGATGTTTCTATCTCTCTCTCCCTCTCCTTTCCTCTCTCTGAAATCAATAAAGATACGTTTTAAGAAAAAAAAGGTTTCTTTAAAAAAAAAAAAAAAATCACCCTATTGCAGTGAGAAAAGTAGTTTGGAGGGAACAAAAGTGGATTTAGGGAGAATTGTTTAGAATATTATTACAAAAGAGATGATGGTGAGCTGGACTAGGAAGGATAGAGTGAAGACTGAAAAAAATGAATAGATTCCACTTTGTCCCTTCTTGCCTGAGTGAATGTGAACCCAGTGATTGATGACTTACTTTCTTGTAGAACCTAGATCCTTATCCTTCTATTTCATCTGCCTGATGTGGACAGATCCCACATTCAACTTCTCTGCTACTAAATGGGGCCACTGAGCAAGACAAGATCACATAACCTTGCAGAGCAATACAACTACAAATATCCCTTCAATGTAACACTGCTTATCTTTTGACTGACTCTGGTACCTCAACCAAATTTCTCAGTACTATCCCATACTTTCACCATTTTCCTTGAGCCTCCTACTTATCACATCTCCTACTCCTGGCAGATGACCAATTTCACAGAAAAAATTACACAACAACGCAAGAGCATTCCTTCAGGTTTCCTCCCCTGCCCCTACCTGCTGGCTAGTCCCCTCCTCCCTGCAGAATTCCCTAAAACAGACATTCACTGATGCTACTTTCTCACCTTATATTCAGTCCTCTACCTACCAAATGGTCTTCTAGTGAAAGAGAATGGTGGTTCCTCAAAGAATTAAAAGTCAAATTACCTTATGACTCAGCAATTCCACTCCTGGATATTTATCGAAAAAATCTACAACACTAATTCAAAAAGATACATGCATCCCCATGTTCACTGCAGCATTATTTACAACAGCCAAGATATGGAAGCAACCTAACTGTCCATCATTCGGTGAATGGATAAAGAAGATGTGGTATATATACACAACAGAATATTACTTGACCATAAAAAAGAACGAAATCTTGCCATTTGCCACAACATGGATGGGCATATAGGATATTATGATAAGTGAAATAAGGCAGACAGAAAAAGATAAATACCATTATGAACTCACATATGTGGAATCTAAAAAACAAAATAAATACAGAAACAAACAAAGCAGCAACAAAGTCACAGATAGAACAAACTGATGGTCGCCAGATGGGTACTAGACTTATTGGGATGATCAATCCGTAAGATATATAAATGTCTATTTATTATGTTGTGCACCTAAAATTAATATAATAGTGTATGTCAGCTATAACTGAAAAAAAAATTTTTTTTTTAAAGAGAATAGCACTGACATAGATAAGATCATCAGTCCTCCTTGCTGCTTATCTAATGTGATCTTTTTGCTTCTCTGGCTCTACATCTTGGTCACCTTTGTGGGCTCCTCTTCCTGTGCCGTCACCAAAGGTAGTACACCCACAATTCTAACCTCAGGCCTTCCATCTTCTCATTTTACATCGTCCCCACGAGAAACTTCATATATGCCTCTGAGCACCCAAATGCTGATGACTCCAAATGTATTTGTAGCCCCTAATTCTACACCTCACCTGGGAATTCCACATGCACTTCACACTCAGCACCTTAAAACCTGAGCTCATTCTCTCATCTATGTCCCCTACCCTTTCAATCTGTTTCTCTTCTAGTATTGCCTATGCTAGCAAATGGTACCATCATCCCCCACCCCCCAATCACCCAAATCACAAGCCTGGGAGCCACCCTGGACTTTCTTCTTGCCTTATCCTCACTCGCAAATAGTCTTTTACTAAGTTTTACTAATTTTACTTTTAAAATTTCTCAGATCCATCCACCACCTTCCACTTGCTACATCTTTATTCTCTCTCAGGTTTGCATAACCTGGACCCTAGGAAATGGTTTCCATTAGCTATTTATCCCTCTTTCTCTGTCCAGCCATTATTTACAGTGGTTACTTGTGGAGGTTGATCAATCTAAAATGCAAATATGATAGTATTATATTCTACTGCTCCAAAATCCTCAATGGGTCCCCAGTGACTAAAGTATAAGGTCCAAATTCCTATACATGATAAATAAGGCCCTTCATGTTCGGCTGCATCTAACTCTCCAGCCTTATTTACTTCTCGTCATGATTCCCCTTCTTGTACTGGCAGTTCCCCAAGTACACTATGTGCTTCAAATTTCAGTTCCTTTGCACACGCTGTTCCCTCTGCCTGGAATGACTCCTGGTCTAGCATGTGAATTCTTATCTCTTCTTAAGACTAACTTGAGTATTACCTAATTTGCAAAATCTTCCCTGGCCTCCCAAGTTAAACTGCCCACTTCCTCCTTGGTGCTACACCTTGTACTCTACCTGTATCATATTATTCATCACACTGCACGGTATTTGTGTTTATTTACATGTTTGTCTCCTCACTAAACCATGAGCAATTTAAGGGCAGGAATCGTCTTGTTCATTCTGTATCCCTAGCATCCAAGTACCTAGTAGGTATTCAATTTTTATTCAGATGAACTGAACTGTATTTATACTAGTACCCCACTGCATGTATATACAACATACACACACACAAACAATATTTGCTGATAACAGAATAATCAATGTTGTAAACAGGGGAGTCTAAAACAATGGCTCATCTCATAGATATTTGCTTAAGATTGTTATATGATCTGATTTGCAATAGATTTCTTTTCCTAAACATTGTTTAGCTCAGACTAATATTAAAATCAGTCTGCATGCTCTGAGTACCCAACTATTTAGTAACAAAGAAAAAAATGACCCGAAATTAAATACCGATTGTAGATAAAAGAGCTATGTTAAAATGCCTGAGAAGCTACTGACCCTACATTCTCTTGTCTACAAGATCCCCCAAAGTGTCCTTTCTTCCAGTATACCCACTCTCCTGGTTCCACTGATACATTACAGCTGTGTCTGAGTCCTCTCCAACTCCTCCCAAAACTCACTGGAAAACCACGACATTCAAGACTGTGAAGAATTTTCAAAGGTCAGAGACTCCTCCACGTCTATGTCGTCAGTCTAGAGGAATCCAGACAGGGAGAAAGAGGAGGGACAAAAACCTTTAGAAATTTCACACAATTCTTGATTAGGTGGGAGGGAGAGAGGAAAGATTGTCTTGGCAGATTGTTTTTAGTTAATATGGGTCCTTCCAAGTGAAAGAAACAAAATACAACCTTCTTAGAAAAAAGAAAATACGACCAAATTCCATACTTAAAGGGACCTATGTTATCATTAAATGTTACAACCCTGGGATAATAACATGGGCCTGAAAGGAGGAAAAGAAGTAAAAAGAAGTAATGTGTTAAAGCTATAGACATTATTTCATTTAAACTTCCAAACAACTCTTAAGAGGTCTGTTCGTACTGTTAACCCCACACTATAGATGAAGACGCTAATGCTCATAAAGGTCAGGTAATCTACCCAAGGTTACAGAGATTAAAAAGTGGCAGGGCCAGGATTTTTATGAACGTAGCCTGTCTGACTCCGGAGACCAGACACTTGCACTATACCACACTTAGTCCAGGGAGCTGGACTGAGAAAGCATGGGCAGTCCACCCATGTGGAAGTCCACTCTCACTGCTTCAACTCCTTTCAACTCATGTTGATAGGGAATCGGCTCTGGATTTAGACAGATCTAGGTTCAAATCCCCAACCTACTACTAAGGGCTGTGCCATCATGAGAAAGTAATATAGCCATTTTGTGCCTCTGTTCCTTTGTGTATAAAATATCTGCATTTCAGACTTCTTGTTAGGATTAAATGACTTAAGATATGTAAAGCCTTTGGGGCAGTGCCTAGCACACAGTAAAGTCCTCAAAAAATGTCAGCTGCCTTCTTTCTATCTAATTCCCTCCCAAGCACTCTGCTTCACTCCACTGGTGCCCAACACAATCCCTATATCTTTCCTTCAAAAGCTCCCTCTACTCTATCCAAATCCTCCAGCCCTACAACCATTTCCAAGGCACAGTCTTAACACATACACACAACACCCAGTCCCTATCATTCCCATTCCAGTGTCTTTCAACTCTTTGAACCTTCAAGAAAAATGTTGTAAAGGGGGTTCCTTAGTTGTACCTTCTACCAGAAGGTCCGTCAAAAATAACAGCAAGAGAAAAAAGTCTGTCCTCTCCTAGATATACAGACACAGCTAAATAGCTCATTCATTCCCAAATCACAAGAAACAGCAATTTCACATGTATTCACTGAAATTCTAATATCTTAAATCTACCAGTCCTACTTCCTCACCTTTACCCCTTAGTACTCTACTCATTCCAGATTCAATATTTTATCATATTCTCTTATTCTCATACATGTTATCTATTTTTTGGATTGTTGGAAAGAAATGTTTACATCTCCTCCTACTTACCATACACAATACTGGGATGTTTTCTACCTCCACTATAGTATATACTCAGGGAATGTCTATTTTCTCCCCTAAATCAGACTTAAGAAAAAAAAAACCTCAATGCAAATCATACAATTTGCCACTCCCCAAACAATTTATTACTTTACCATATGCTAATGTGGATACATACCAGTAAGACATACAAGTTAGCCCCATGGCTTCATCACTATCACTGGTATGTGTATATGTCAGAACAAGATTTAACTAATTTTTTCTAAGGTTTCGAGTTTTTCAAATCAGGCCTATAAATAGCAAAATAAATCTCTAAGAGACAATTCCCATTAATAGCCAAATGCTAATATAATGATTTCAAAGACATTCACAGAGAACTCCTTGTGAACTGGCATTTGTCTTTTCAGTGCTACTGATAAAAGGCTCCTTGGATTACAGTTATTTGGAAAATTTAATAATTTGGAAGATTTGTACAATGGAAATTGACCTTTGGAAAAATAAAGGCAGAGAGAGTCATAGAGAAAGTCTGTTATTATAATATTGGCACAACCACAGTAACTTGAATAGAAACAGCAATCATGTAATGTTTATTTTTTTAGATCCAGACCAGTATGTCTATTTATGACACACAATGAATTTTTTGTTTTTCCTTTCAGGTAGGGCAAGGATAGTCCAAGGTTTGGTTCTCAATAAATTCAACTTTTAAAAGAATAGGCTATAAAAACAAAAATTCTACTTGAGCCCTTAAAGATCCTGATTACTGAACTTTTGACATGAGAGAAAAAAATAAATACTACAAACCAACAGAGGCTAGTCCAATAGCAAAACACAGTTTCTCTAGACTCAACCCTCAAACATTCGGTAGCTAAAGACCTCTTCTTTTTTTGATTCCTAATTATAGGGTATTTCACTGTTAGTTATAGAACTTCCATTCAAGGGGGAAAGTGGCAGAAAGAAAAAATTCCAATTAGCTCTTTCTCTTCAATAAGGCAGCAGAGGCAGAGATACGGATCTTTGTGAAGAATCTGACTGGCAAGACCATCACCCTCAAGGTCAAGGCCAGTGACACCACTGAAAATGTCAAAGCTAAAATCCAAGACAAGGAGGGCATCCCGCCTGATCAGCAGCATCTGATTTTTACCAGCAAACAGCTGGAGGATGGTCACACTCTCTTAGACTGCAATATTCAGAAAGAGTCCACCCTGCACTTGGTGCTTCATCTGCAGAGCGGCACCATCAAGCCATCCCTCCACCAGCTTGCCCAGAAGTACAACTGCGATAAGATGATCTACCACAAGTGGTACCCTGCCTGTACCCCTGGCGGTGACAAATGCCGCTAGAAGTACAGCCACACCAACAACCAGCACTCTAAGAAGGTTAAATAATTAAGGCCCTTCCACCACCTCCTCAGCCCGCAGGGCAGCCTCCTGACTGAATCCCATGGTGCTGAGGCCTCAATAAAGTTTCCCTTTCATTGACTGGAAAAGAAAAGAAAAAGAAAAATATTCCAATTACTGTAGTACCTGCAATTAGTTATTAATAGGAAATAAATTCCCTTTGTAAATTTCTTCTAGTAAATTAACTTCCTTTAGCATATAACTACTAACTTTTTAAAGCTTCGAACAATTTTTAAAAACTTGTCTTGCCCAGGCCAGTGTGGCTCAGTTGGTTGGAGTGTCGTCCCATACACCAAAGCGGTGCCAGTTCCATTCCCAGTCAGGGCACATACCTAGGTTGTGGGTTCAATCCCCCAGTCAGGGTGTAGATGGGAGGCAACCAATTGATGGTTCTCACTCACATCAATGTTTCTATCTTTCTCTTTCTCCCTTCCATCCCCTTCCTCTAGAGCGGGGTGGGGAATGTCAGGCCCTCAGACCACAATCATTTGGTCTGGCCCTGCTGAGGCCTCACCAAAGAAAAGCAGTTCCAGCCATCCCATTAGGGGTGAGTTAATTAAATGTTTCACCAAATAGCGCCAGGTAATTTTTAAGCTGATAATTTTGTATGGCCCACAAATGATGTTCTAAATATCCAAATGGTCCTTGGCTATCATAAAAAAGGTTCCCCACCCCTGCTCTAGAAGATAAACGAACATATCCTTGGGTGGGGATTAAAAAACCAAAAAACTTACCTTTTATAAAATTATGCAATTCAGTTAAAAAAAAAACACAAACATATTATGACTATTATTATTTTTAATTCTCCATCTGCAAGTTCCATAATTCCATCTTTCCTGGCCATATCTAAGCCTCACTGGAACTCCTACAGGCCAGTACGCAAAACATTCACTGGCACTTGCTGTTACCATAAAGTGCCCTGTAATATTAGTTGGCCTTGCTGATACTCACATCTTATCTCTCCAATATGACTATTACTCATTCATTCAAAATTTACCAAACTGGGTCCACCATGTACCAGGCACTGCCCTAGGGCCTGGGGATACAAATAAAGAAGAGAAGCCACAATCCTACCTTCAAGGCACTACAGTCTGAAGAAAGAAATCTAAACATGTTATTAGTGCCCAATGGGGTAGGAACAGGTATAAGGAGCAACCAGTTTAGCTGGATAGGTTAGGGAAGTTTCTCAAACTGGGTCTTTAGGACATGTAAGAGCTTACCAGGCTGGAGAAGAAGACACATTCTAAATAGAATTAAGATCCTTTAGGTTGGCATCTTTCTTTAACACTTTTAAAAATTTTTAAACAGCCCTAACATAGTACATGCCTAACAAATATTTGTGGTTCTAAATTATTCATGCCAGTCCATACCTGTTGATAACTGAGAGCTAATCTATACCTAAAACAGGCATGTGAATTATTTACTGGTTTTAAATGTCATCATTCACCCCATAGATATGTAATCAAGGTCTGTATGAAAAATATATTTGTACAGCTGTCCACTGAGGGAATAGTTTCTTGTCTGCTGTGAATTTTTGTTTTTAAAGCACTTTAGCAAATATGTCTTCATTTAATAAAAATTTTCAAAATTAAGTACTTTTTGAAACTTTTAATCTCTTTTCTGATGGAAAACCCATACACACTGAGAAGCTTACAAAGCTTAAATGATACCCAGAAAATAAGGAGCTTGACCTAAGTTCTCTGAATCTGAATACAGGATTCATATTAGTTCTCCAGGGATGTAGAGCAAAACCAAATCAGTCTAGTCATACAAACTCCACAGGTTAACGCACTTTAATATTCTACTTTGAAAAATACCACCCATGTTCACCCACACTGTCTACTAGCCATCACCATCCTCCCGACCCCCGGCCAATCCCACCAACACACATATATTTCTATTTCCAGGTTGGAATTAAGAAGCAGAAACTCTAACCCAAATACTCTATCCTAAGTATCATTTGTGGCCCTTAAACTGACTTGTATAGGTTGTGCCTTTTGTGGTAATAATTTTTCTTTTAAAAGCAACCAGGCCTCTTATAGTTATGCACATAAAATGAGTTACACTTTTGGCCGGAACCGCCATTTGCCAGTAATTCGCCAAAATGACCAACACAAAGGGAAAGAGGAGAGGCACCTGCTATATGTTCTCTAGACCTTTTAGAAAACATGGAGTTTTCCTTTGGCCACATACATGTGCATCTACAAGAAAGGTGATATGGTAGACATCAAGGGAATGGGCACTGTTCAAAAAGGAATGCCCCACAAATGTTTAAACAGGCAGAGTTTACAGTGGCAAAACAGAAAGAGTTTACCATGTCACCCAGCATGCAGTGGGCATTGTTGTGAACAAACAAGTTAAGGGCAAGATTCCTAACAAGAGAATTAATGTGCGTATTAAGCATATTAAGCACTCTAAGAGCCGAGATAGCTTCCTGAAACGTGTGAAGGAAAATGATCAGAAAAAGAAGGAAGCCAAAGAGAAAGGTACCCGGGTTCAACTGAAGCGTCAGCCTGCTCCACCCAGGGNAAGCGTCAGCCTGCTGCACCCAGGGAAGCACACCTTGTGAGAACCAATGGAAAGGAGCCTGAGCTGCTGGAACCCATTCCCTATGAATTCATGGCATGATAAGTGTTAAAAAAAAAAAAAGACCTCTGTACTGATAAAAATGTTTCTCTTAATTGGGTAGAAGTGTGGTATCCCTTCCCCAAAAAAATAATTAGAGAAAACTTTGTGTACTAAAAAAAAAAAAAAAATTAGTTACAAACATGTAACACAATCTGACAATTCTATAGAGAATTGGGAATAGAGAATATACACTTCCATTATTTACGTAATTAACATTTCACATTTGGGATTTATGTGCAATAAGCCTGGCGGTGAGGTACAGAAAGTCAGTCTATTTTCCTTGTTTAGTACTTTAGAATTATGGATTTTAGAATTAGGACATCAGAGATCATTTCACTTCATACCCTCAAGTCACAGATGACAGCACTGAGAACCAAGTGAATAAGATTAAGTGACTTGCCCATAGTCACAGAGCTAACTAGTGATAAAACTGTGTATAGCACATAAATCTGTTGACCCCTATTCCAACAATCTTTACTTGACTTCACATATATCGGTAACTTTCAATTCTCTACGTGATCCACTCATGGATTTATCTATGAAAACTTCCTTTCCTCCTGCCACCCAGCTAAATCTCTTACTTCTACAAAAAAGATGAATATTTAGGAAACTTAATCACTTAAGCAAACCATATTAAGAAAGGAAAATCATCTATAAAGAAAATCATGAAGGCATAGCACAATCAAATCATCATTTTTGTTTCGCTCATCACCTCTAAAGATATAAACTGGATTGCAAATATTGTTCTAGCACTGTATCCCTGAGGTCTGAAGTGTTGTAGCAAGAGGGTAGGATAAAATTATGTTTTACATGAATACAGATTTTTATCTTTTCCATTGATAGTTTGAAGCTGTAATATACTTATCATATGCTATTAAGAAATCACAGCAATAATTAAATTTTGAACAGGATAAAACATAAAATAAAAACCAAGAAAGAAATAAAACACCAACTTTTAACAAATTACTTCTCCTTGTCCAAAAGGATAAAATGCTTGGAAGCATCAAAGCAATCACTTTCCTCACATTCACATTTATTCATGTTTATTTGTAGGAAAGCTACATTTCTTCTTCCTTTTAGGAAGGGTGACCAGCAACACAGCAGCATGCAGACCACTGCAGTTTTCCAATGAAAACCTTAACCTCCTACTCAATCATTCAATAAGCATTTATTAAGGAATTACTCTGTACCAGCCAGTCTGCTAAGTAAAGGGGACACATCAACCAGTAAGTCATTATCCCAGCTTTCTATAAGTTCATCTCATGGGTTGGTTCCAGAGAAAATACCAAGATAGGTGTCAGCTAATTTCCTTTATATTCAACAAAGATTTACTGAGTGCTAGGCACCAGAAACAGGGAAAAAATGAGGAAATTCTAAAAAGTAAGAGGTCTTTTCAAAATTTACTAAACAACTAGCTCTTTTGAATTATTAAAACCACATGTTCTTCTCCAAGAATCCAATCATCAGAAGTTGGCTGTAAAGGCTTTTGATGACACCACCTAACCAATATTTGGGTCAAAGATAGTTTCCCTAATCTTACTACTTAGTGAGCCCAGGCAGATACTGTCCTGGACTGATACACTTTTGTTATTTATTTTAAGATCCATATTGTGGTTTATCTTACCAACAATCTGAGATAAGCTGTTTCCTATGTAGAAAGATGCCTCCAGTAGAATGCACTATAAGTCTCTAAGGTCAAACATGTGGCAAGTCCTGTTACACTTTCTTGCCACCATACAGTACGCCAAAGCACTACAGGCAACCCTTCAAGTTTTCAGGGTGACAGATCTCTGCTTTTCCTTCTCCCTTCCACAAAAAGTTCAAAAAATATCAATTAGTAAACAAGTTATCTGGCAAATATCCCATTTTCCTCTGATTTTTTCCTCTTGAAATTAATCCAGGAAACCAACCCTTATGAATCTTATTCAATTAATATTTTTAATATTATTGGTAATGGTGGTGATAGCAACTGCTAGCTTTGCAGTTCACAAAATACTTTCAAATACATTACACCATTTGCTGCGGGGGGGGAAAATGGAGAGGGGAATAAGAGGAAATATCATAGGCAACTATCTCAAATATCAAAAATTAAACCCAGGTTAACCAAAATTGAAAAGCAAGCTTTTTCAATGCTACCCAGGGGTCTAGAAGCTATTTCTATTAAAAAAGCAGATGATTGACTCTAGCAATGCAAAAATCACAAATTTCCCCTTACATGTGACCTTAAATGCTAGGCCTAATTGATTCAATTTGTAAATGTTAAGACCATAGTCTCAGCAAGAATCTGATACTATGAATCCTTGTTACCCCAACCC